CTAGCTAGGGCAGTCTCAGCTTCGAACACGAGCTCTTCAATACTGTCTTTATCGATAAAATCGCTCTGGTGGAAATTCTGTCCTAAGGCAACTCTAAAAAGGATACTCGCGGTAAGCCAGAAAAGTGATTTGCTCAAATCAACCGGAGAGCGATCCACCGCGGATTCCGACAGTTGCTTGACCAGAAAGTTACATTCTTCCTCTCTAATATGCCTAAATGACCGAACCTTTTTCAAGCAGAAAAGCTCACGCAGCGCAAACTTACGCCGCTCCTTCCACTCTTTACCGTATGGCGTAAAACCGATATCTTTAAAATCCCGCGAGAGTAACCTTGTCCCGACAAGCTTAGGCCTGCTGCAACAGTCTAGGTCATGAGTTCTAAGCACTTCTTCAGCTGCTTCTCTCGATGAAACCACAGTTATAGGGACAAACCCAAAGTGAAGAAGCATCACAGGTCCGTATCTTTCGGCGAGATGTTGAAGTGACCTGTGAGGCAATTCTCCAATCTGGTGTAAGTTTCCGATGACCGGAAACTTGGGAGGGCTTGGAGGAAGATTCCATTTAGATCGTTTGATCTTCTTGGCGAAAAAGATTAACGAAACGAGGGTAATGAGGCAAAAACAGAGGAAAGATATCGCCATTTTTTTTTCTTTTGGTTATCGATAAAGTGAAAATGATTTTGCTCTTGTTTTTGTTTCCATTAATAGTTCAACACGGCAACTCAAGATCTAGAAGTATCCATACTATTTTCGGTTAAAGTCCTTCAACTATTAGAAAGAGCCAATGGTCTAGTGGCTAAGACGGACCACAAGGAAATTGCAATTACTTTTTCTGAAGGCATTAATATTTTGGGGGAAATGGAAAGAATATCTTCTCGATTAAAAGTATCTATCTATACTTTATATTAATCAAAAAACTTATTATATCCTAAAATTTTTAAATTGAGAGTAATGACAAAATCTCTAACTCTTACAGAGGCTTCAGTTCAGAAAAATTTGTTTTTTTCTAAAATCTCTAAAAACCATGAATATATTAGTGGAAAAGATATAATTCTGAAAACAATTTCACGAAGTACATTTTATCTTAGAAAACTGTAAATAATTTAGTTAATTTACTGCATATGTTTAACATGAATTTCATACAATTTATAAATATGAAATTATTTTATTTTTATTTTTTTTTAATTTTTTTAATATGAAATTATTTTATTAAATATCATATATAATAACGTACTATATCATGCTATTTATATTAGTCACACACATGTTTATTTGGGAAAGTGATAAGCTAAATTGTCACGTTATTGACTTGGAGCGGATCAATATAATGATTTCTTAAGACAAGCAAATTAAGCTTTAATGATTACAAGATACTGTATTTGGAAAATTTGTGGAGGCAACTGTGACATCCATTACACATTTGGATCAGTCTGTAGACTCTTATCTTAATGATATCTAAAATTTGGACGTTTATGAAAATTTTCTAGAAGAAAAGTTATACACGCAATAAGATATGACCAGACATCATTAGTCTATATTTTAAGTTGGTCCACATGTTTCACTAAATCGATGAAAAGTTTGAGTCCAAAAAGAACCAAATTTGGGCTTGGAAACTTAATATCGATTACGTAACTGGCTTTAATGTGTTATCTTAAGAGAGAACTAATTATTGATTTCCTTTGTCGTCAGCTCTGTATATAAGGTTAGAGAATTGACTTAATATGCGTAAATCATGACAGCTAAAACAAAAACCTTAAAAAAGAAAAGAAACAGTATATATCATCCTTGAAAATTTAATTTAAATGATCGAAAAATCCAAACTTGAATAAGACGTGTTAGAAGAAAAATAGCCAAAATTAAGACTACAAATCAATGTCCAAAATGAAACGCCATTGAATCAGGCCGGTCATTTCCAAATTTTCAGCCCAACAAAGTTAGACGAGATAAGTACATGTACAGAAATCACAATTTAGAATTACATCCACTTAAGAAAAATACGATGAATACGACTTTACAATAATACTGTTCTCTTTACTGTTGTGGTCTCAGCCACATATTTTTATATCTCATATAAGAGTTAAAACTAAGAGGTCACTAAACCATATATAAGATAAACTCAATGATAAATATTGTGATATCTTCTATCAAGGATATGATTCTTATCACATTAATTAAGATTATAAACCATCTCAGCTAACAAAAACTTTTCATTATCTTTGCGCTTGGGGCAATGACGCAGCTAATGAGGTACTAACCGAGGCGCGTCTATTGCTGGTTGAAAACTATTTCCAAACCCCCTCCTGGGCCTAAGCTTGTCTTGGGCCCTCGAAAATTTCTGGAAGGGCTCCCTTTGGGGTAAAGCCCTAAAAAAAAAAAAAAATAATAAAAAAAAAAAACTTTTCATTATGTGGCCCATATAGTTAAAATGTAAACGTGGCCTAAAGCACATGTCTCAGCTGTCTTATGGATAGGCAGGACCTGCGTACGTAATATATGGTGTTAAGTTGACTAAGTCAAAGATTTGCATGGTATTATAAAGTTTAATAATAAAAGGAAATTGACAATGTAAATGGTCCATTAATACGCATGTCGTCTACGACAATTAATTTAGAATCGCCTATGACCGGCGGGCACAATCTTCTCGTTCGGATTGCAACCTAAAAATTACCTTAACCGGCTTAAAGAACCGGTTTAGTTGTCTAACTAAATGCGTTTATGTTAATTTACCTTAATCTTCTTTTCAATTTGCACTTTATTTACCAACACTTACACTAACTAAAATCCGAAGGGTTTTCATTTTTCGATTTACAGAATTTAGCTAGAGGCATTCTATCTATTAAATATTTCATATAATTAAGTTTGAATTTATTGTATTGTTAGATTATTTATTAGAAAAATAACTAAAGGACAAGTGGAATTAACTTACTTATAAAGTTTAAAACTTGATAGAAAGTCATCAAGGTGCTTATCGATGGATAGGTTACGCGCATTTTACTTTTTATAGTATTATTGTACTCCGAGAAAGACCACCAAACTCACCCAATAGATTATTGTATCATAAATATATAGAAAGTTGTCATAGATCACCCTATAGAAAACTATACACAGCAAACACGTGATTAACTAGGTTCAACATTAGCATTACACCATTCAAATAATACTGTTTGTAGAAATCCAAATTAGTAGACTTAATAAAACAAAATTACCTTCAAAACTCTTATCATTATTGTAAGATTCAGGTGGCTAAACATTCATCATATTCGTAATTTTTAGGTTTTAAAAAGTTACAAAACAATTAAAAAAAAGTTGGTATCTATATAATAAACTCTCATAAAGGTATCAGTGCTCTACTTCCAACAAGAAAAAATCACTAACTAACAGAAAAATACAAACAAGGGAATTATATTTTGCTTTATAATGTATATTTAACTAAAAGACATTGTTAGGTCGATTCTTAAGAATTGTAACTATAAAACTACTTCTACTATTATATATCATAGCCTATTTTTATTTATTTTACTTGTAATTTTGGCCATATATATTGTTTTTGTAGTTGTAGATATTGCAGAAACTCTCAACATTGTCCATGATCCATAGATAATTAGATATAAAAATAGTAATTTAGGAAGAAAAAAAATAATAATGTTAGAGCAATAGTAAGTCAATAAATACATGCACACAGAAGATTTAGATTGATAATATTTCAATCTTTGAATATAATAAAACGATAAGTGAGAAAATATTGAATCAGTTTTATTTTTTCTCTAGAATACTTGAAATACAAGATTAAGCAATTTATGACTTTCTAATTACATGAAGAAAAAAGTTTAAAACAATATAGAAAAGTATTTTAGAATTTGATAGTAAAATATTTAATTATGTTATCAAAAGTTTTTAGCATAACTAAAACAATATTATAAATTGAACACTGTTGTATAATCAAAAAGAAACTTATCAATTAAATCTATAAACAGTAACCAAATATTTACGTACTACAACACTCAACACATATGAATTGGTTAAAAGGATTTTAAGACTTTAAGTAATTAACTGAACGTCTATTTATTTAAGGAATTTGTTTACTAACGAAAAAGGGTTCACATAAAATGATATTGTTTACTATCAAAAAGTATTTACAGAGTTGGAAACAATTCCCATTCACAAAACTACGAAGATCACATGGAATGGCTTACACCTGATTAATCTAATATATATGCGAAATAAAATAAATGATAACCTACATTTTTTTAATGATAACCTAATTAGTTGGTACCAGAATTGGAGACTAACTAGAAGTGTAACTTTGATGCCACAAATACAATTGGTAACAATGTCTCTGGAGTCGTTGGATTCTACGAGATGGATTAAACTTGAATGTTGGGGGATATGCAATAAACTTGGACATGTGGCCATGTGGGCATATTCTGCAGAGTTTGAAGGAGATTGCAAAATCCTAATTATTGATAGTCTGAATATAAAATCTTAAACTTAGTATTGACAAATTTGATGATTGATATGAAATCTTATAACCGTTAATGTAGTTTACAATACATGTAGTTATGTGATGGATCATATGTTGTATATATAGCACGCATAAACTAATTTCATTAGCAAGAAACGATAATGAGATAACCCAAAGCACATTTTTATCAAAAAAAAAAAGGATAACCCAAAGCACACTTTATGTGACGGTTTTAAAGTTCAATGGCACGTTGGTGTTTTATAATCTTGAATTAATCATGACTTTGTTTGAATTCTTTTTTACTAAAACTGATTAAAAATATAGGTTTGGTCAACAACAATCTTAGTCGATCTGTAATTTAACTCAGAAATATTATTTGATGTATAACTTATTATTTTATTTTATTTGTTCTCACGTCAAAACACAAAAGAGTCATATCACGTACGTGTGTAAGAAATCCAGTTCGACAAGTTGGATAGAATTAAACCATATATAAAGGACTTATATTTATTTGATAAAATAATAAAGATATATCTAAACAAGACTTACAAATTTTAATAAACGAACAGGTGACACATGAGAACATATACAAAAGAAGTAACAGATAAAAGAATCGTGGGACTAGAAAATAGCCAAATAAACACATATGACGACCGTAGAGTGTTCTCAAGGCATCAGCGATCAGTAATGAAGAGCTGGCACGAGCTCAAGTGGGACTTTCTTGGCAATGACGAAAGCTCCAGCTTCTTCCATGTTAATGTCTGCAATGGTCATTCCATCGGGTAAACTCCAATCGAAGAAATAAAGAACGTTAAGGAGGCCAAGTTCCACGATGGTCATCCCCGTGGCCATCCCGGGACAGATCCTACGGCCTCCACCGAATGGCAACAATTCAAAATGCTGACCCTTGTAGTCGATAGGGCTGTCAATAAACCTCTCAGGGATAAACTCGTTAGGATTTGTCCAGCAATTTGGATCACGTCCTATTGCGTAAGTGTTGATCTCGATCATTGTGTTTTTGGGGATGTTGTAACCTTGAATCTTGACATCGGACATTGTCTCTCTTGGGAGCAAGAGAGGAGCTGGTGGGTGTAGTCGGAATGTTTCTTGGATCACATGCTTCAGGTAGTGAACTTTTTCGAGATCTTGCTCCGTGATTTTTTCTTTGTTGTCTCCGAGTATTTCTCGAATCTCTTGTTGAAGTTTCATCATCACTCTCGGATGTCTTGTTAACTCGGTCATCGCCCATATCATTGTGATCGCTCCTGCGTTCACTCCGGCCAAAAATACATCCTGATCATATAACAAACAAATGTTAATTAGTTACATTATATAAATGAAAGTTTATGAATTCCGTCACATAAATTTTTCTTAAAAAAAGGTTGAACTCACCGACATGACTCCTTTTAGATGATCATAGGTGACTTTAAAAGAGCCGACTTTGCTCTCTTTATTGATCATATCCAACATGACACCAATGATGTCTGAATGATCTTGAGATTGCCCAGGCTTCAAATGATCATCGATCACATGTTGAAAGAAATTACTTAGTCTAGCAAAGGCTTTGTGCAACCTCGAATGTTGGCCGGATATCCGATCAATAGCCCACCCAAGACCGGCAGGGAAGAAGTCAATGAATGCGAATGAGCCAAGATTGGTCTCAGACTCAAGCACAAGCTCTTCAACTTTATCCATGTTGACAAAATCGCATTCATGGAAGTTCTGTCCAAAAGCGAGTCTACATACGATACTAGCGGTATAAGAGAAAAGAGTCTTTCTCAAATCCACCAAAGTTTGTGTTTGAGCAGAGTCCGAGACTTTCTTGACTAGCAATTCACTCTCTTCTTCTCTAATATACCTGAAAGCCTTTAACTTTTTTGAGCTAAAGAGCTCGAGCATCGCAAGCTTTCTCATCTCTCTCCAGTCTTCACCGTATTGTGCAAAGCCAATATCTTTGTAGTTGTAAGAAAACAACCCGCTCGCAGATAGCTTTGGTCGGGTACAAGTCTCGAGATCATGAGTCTTTAAAACTTCTTCGGCTGCTTCTTTTGTGGAGAACACTACCACAGGGACCACACCAAAACGAAGAAACATCACGGGTCCATACTCTTGGGAGAGTTTATGAAAAGATCTGTGAAGAGATTTTCCAAGTTGGTGCAAGTTTCCGATGATCGGAAGACCTATAGGTCCCGGAGGAAGCTTCCCTTTCGACGGTAAAAGCCTCTTGTAGAAAACAAGAAAGAGAGGTAAGAGCAGGAGGAAACAGAGAAAGATCGACATTTGATGTTTTGTTGTTGTTGTTGTTGTTGGTATTGTGTGTTATTGTGAAGTTGTTTTGCGTTTTCGGTGAAGAATATTGAGTCGCAAGAGGAGCTATAAATAGATACGTGATATGGGCTTCACGTTGACTAAAGTCAAAGATTTTCATTGTATTAGTTATTATTTTTAAAATAGGTCAGAAGTTGTATAAGGTTTAATAAGAAAGGTATAAGACAAAATGTGCGTGGTCCATTAATACATACGCATGTGACAATAAATCTCCGATGTCCGGTGGCTAAAACATCTAGAATTGGATAGCCGCCGCAAATTTACATTAAACCGGCTTAAAAACCAGTTTGTCGCTCAACTAAATTAATGTATTACAATTTTACTTTAAGCCGGCCTACGCATACAAGAGTTTCAAGTTGCATCTTAATCTCTTTATTTGTACACATTCTTAATTTTACTATGAGTGGGAAAGTTGGAGAGGCATATTCTCTGTATTAAATAATCCAGGAAATTAATAATATACTAGAAAAAGAACTAAAGAACAAGTGAATTTAACTAGTAATATATTTGCTTGAAAGCCATCAAGGTAAATGGGCGGATTACGCGCATATTTCTTTTATAATATTTTTGCACTCCGCAAAAGACTAAATTCACTCCATCTTTTTATTTTATGTACTAAGCATATATATAGAAAGTAGCCGTAGATACCTTAGAAAATATATAGACGACACGTGATTAAGTTCAACATTAGCATTCCATCATTCAAATAATACTGTTAGTAAAACAAAACTGCCCGTCAAAACTACGTACTGTTATTACAAATTTCGTCGATTTTCGACGGATTTTTTTTCTCTCCGTATGTAGATTATATAGGGATAAGTTATGATCACTGCAAGTTTTCTTATGCATATAATATCCTTACATTGCTCCAAGTAATAAAAATCATTATCAACATGCCACCCCTCTCAAGCATTCTATATATAGAATTCTCACGGATTGATTACCATATAAAATAAATAAAGCCAGAGGTATTTGAGTTTTTCTATAAGAAACTTTGTTAGGCTTACCTATTTTCGAGAAAAACAATGTTTTGCAACGTTTATTTTTTATATTTATATCAGTTATAACTTATAACTGATATAATACTTTGTTAAGTTAAATATTAGAAATGCTGATGTAAAATTTTTGTATTGGTTTAAATAATATTTGAATCATTTATAATAATCGTTGTTATTAATATACATTAGTTAATATAAATAATTTTAGTTCTTACATCTATTTATCAAATTGGCATTAATATTTTTAATAGTTATAATAAATGATGTTAAGTGTTTAATATCAATTATTTATAATTGATAATAAAATAAATAAAATAATATTCAGTTGATTTTTTAAGAAACAATTATTATTTAGTTTCAGTAACTAATATAAAAACAAAACGATTAAATTTGTTTAGAATAATAATTGTTTATTAAGTTTTCACTTGTCTAATCCACTACCAAAAAAAAAACGCAAGGTAGTTATATATATATAAGTAATTTAAATTAATATCATTTAATTCTGATATAAATTAATCGATATAATTGAATTTTTTGTAGTGCAAAATCTACAAATTATTACACTCACGTTACACACAAAAAATGGCAAGACGAAGATCGAAAAAGCCAACACTTTTCCACTAAAACTTTTTGAGAGATAATATTACAATATATATATTATAAAACACTGCTCGAAAGATTACATTTTTGTTTCCAACCTCGAGAGATTAAATTGACGGTCAAATGTTTGAACTATATATGCGTATCTTATTCAACATCCGTATTTATATAGTTAAACAGCACTCGTATCTATGAAAACGTTAAGTACACGAGTATACCCGGCATTAAGCTTTTTCAACAAAAAAAAAAAGAAAACGTAAAAGTATCAAAAAAATATTAAGTAATTTTGCATCATAAAACATTAAAAAGTAAGAAATTTTGCATTGAAATTTGAAAACGACATCTAATTCAAAAAAATAAAAATTCTAAAACGACAATTATTAAAATACGGAGGGAGTAGTAAGTAATACATTCAAATACAAATATAAGGTATAAACTTCTCTCGCACATGATCAATATCAATTATATATCATTTAAATAATTGGGAAACGTAACGTAGCTTACGTAAATTAAGAACCGCCGCGACAACATTTGTGACTTTTTCATAAGAAAATAATTGTTTCACCGTTTAAAGTCAAGATATACGCAACTGTTGAATAGAAAAAATACAGTAAAATTCAAATCTCGTAATAATGAAGTACGTGAATAGATAACATAGTCGTTGACACAAAAAAAAAAAAAAAAAAAACACAGTCATACGTAAATGTAATCAACCAAAATAAAAGAAAACACAGCACTACGTCACATATAATTTGCTTTTCTTAAAACCTTAAAACCAGAAAAAGAAATTTTGCTTTTCATTTTGAAGTTTGTTTGACCAACGACTCATATACAAATAACAAAATATTATAAAACCTCGTATAGTTGTGCGGGAGATGGAGAAGCTAGGTCACGTCTCGACCGAGATAAATCTCATAAGTCATACCAATCTCATAAGACTTTTATTAATTTTGTTCTTAGAACTGAGGTATCATCTATACCGATTGAATGAAATACAATAAAATTTCTATAACTCAATAATATCGAAACTATTATATTTTACTATTTTATATAATTATAAATTTACCAAAATCGAAAGAATGTATCAATTTATTAAAATATTAATTTATAGAGATTTAACTGTAACAATATTATATTTACGGTCTATTTTTTCAGATCAAAGTATATATATTATGAATATTTGACCAACAAAATAATAATAATTGATTTTGGTTTTAAACAAAATAAATAAATTAACTATATATGTAGACTTTGCTTGAAACTTTTGAAGATAATATATATTTTACTATTGAGGAACTTTGATTATTTAGAGACTCGTGTGGTTTCAATACTTTTAGATTTCATAATATATATATATATATATATATATATATATATATATATATATATATATATATATAATCTTTTAATATGAAATTGAGATATCAAACACTAACTATATATGTAGATTTTTTAATCAGAAATAAAAATTCAAACATTTAATATTCAAGTTAATATTATTCCAAATTTTAGTCTCTATATTTATAATCATTCCATGCATCTAGATATAAATTTTTAAAGATGTTTTCTAGAAATCGGTAAATCGTTTCCGGGTCCAGTAAAACCAATTGATTCAACGGAGACATGACGGTGATTCTCTTTCATTGATTGAGCCATCGGAAGGTTTTTGAAGTTTTATTTTTGTTTCGATGAAGTTAATTCCCAATAAAAACACGTATTGCAGATTATTCATTATTGCCTAAGCGAGAGAACAAAAAAAGGACACATTTGTGTTTGTGCCTTCAACCACGTGCCTCAGAGTAAGTTGCCATAAACTTTTCCAATCCAATAAATACAAAACTATCATTTAGTCAAAACTTTACCACTACATTAATGTCTATAAATAACGTACCATCCGCAACTCATTACTCTTCACTCCAAAACATAAACAACAACTTACAAAGAAAGAAAAAAACATATCAAATCAAGAATGTCGATCTTTCTCTATTTCCTTTTGCTCTTGCCTCTCTTTTTTATCTTCTTCAAAAGGCTCTCAACTTCTAAAGGGAAGCTTCCTCCTGGACCTCTAGGTCTTCCGATTATCGGAAACTTGCACCAACTTGGAAAATCTCTCCATAGATCTTTTCATAAACTCTCTCAAAACTATGGACCCGTGATGTTTCTACATTTCGGTGTGGTCCCTGTGGTTGTGGTCTCCACAAGAGAAGCAGCTGAAGAAGTTCTCAAGACTCATGATCTCGAGACTTGTACCCGACCAAAGCTAACCGCGACCAAGTTGTTTTCTTACAACTACAAAGACATTGGCTTTGCTCAATATGGTGATGACTGGAGAGAGATGAGGAAGCTTGCGATGCTCGAGCTTTTTAGTTCGAAAAAACTCAAGGCTTTCCGGTATATTAGAGAAGAAGAGAGTGAACTCCTCGTCAAGAAACTCTCGAAATCTGCTGAGACACAAACTATGGTGGATTTGAGAAAAGCTCTTTTCTCTTATACTGCTAGCATCATATGTAGACTGGCTTTTGGACAAAACTTCCATGAGTGCGATTTTGTCGATATGGACAAAGTTGAAGAGCTTGTGCTCGAGTCTGAGACCAATCTTGGCTCATTCGCGTTCACTGACTTCTTTCCCGCAGGTCTTGGGTGGGTTATAGACCGGATCTCTGGCCAACATTCGGAGTTGCACAAAGCCTTTGCCAGACTTAGTAATTTCTTCCAACATGTGATCGATGATCACTTGAAGCCCGGGCAATCTCAAGATCATTCAGACATCATTGGTGTCATGTTAGATATGATCAATAAAGAGAGCAAAGTCGGTTCCTTTGAAGTCACCTATGATCATCTTAAAGGAGTCATGTCGGTGAGTATTACAATCTTTTAAGGTTTATGTGTATTACAAACTTATTTTTCCTTTATAAAAAAAATCAAATATGTAATTAATATTTGTCTGTTTTTCTATATGATCAGGATGTGTTTTTAGCCGGAGTTAACGCAGGAGCGATCACAATGATATGGGCGATGACAGAGCTAGCTAGACATCCGAGAGTGATGAAGAAACTTCAACAAGAGATTCGAGCAACTCTTGGAGACAACAAAGAAAAAATCACTGAGCAAGATCTCGAAAAAGTTCATTACCTGAAACTTGTGATCGAAGAAACATTCAGATTACATCCACCAGCTCCTCTCTTGCTTCCAAGAGAGACAATGTCCGACTTAAAGATTCAAGGCTACAATATCCCTAAGAACACGATGATCGAGATCAACACTTATTCAATAGGACGCGATCCAAATTGCTGGGAAAACCCTAACGATTTCAACCCCGAGAGATTTATCGATAGCCCTGTCGAATATAAGGGTCAACATTACGAGTTGTTGCCTTTTGGTGCTGGTCGCAGGATATGTCCTGGAATGGCTACGGGAATAACTATCGTAGAGCTCGGTTTACTTAACGTTCTCTACTTCTTTGATTGGAGTTTGCCTGATGGAATGAAAATTGAAGACATAGACATGGAAGAAGCTGGAGCTTTCGTCGTCGCCAAGAAAGTCCCTCTTGAGCTGGTTCCAACTCCACATCAGTGGTGAAGTTTTGAAGATGTGTAAATAGTATAATAAGATCAAGATTTCTCTGCGAGACTCTCTTGCAATCGGTTTGATTTTTATTTTGTTGTTGTTTTCAAGTTCATGTGTTGTTCTTATCCGACTGTGACGTTAGTTATCAATATATACTCTTCTTTTCTATTTGAATTAAAAGTTAAAACCAGTTTGAAATTGATCATATGACTACTGAAACTGCTTTGGTTTCATTTCAAAGAAAAACAAAAAGTCTTCAGTATTTTGGCGAAATTTGGCGTATAACGAAATAGATTCTGGCAGATTTAACTTTGACATATAACTAAATATTGTTTTTTTTTTTTCTTGTGAAATTTAAAATTGTGTGGTTATTGGGAAAACTTAAAATATCTAACGTTTTCTAAAATGTATATTGAAAACGAAAAGTCTTTAAATATCTTATCTAAAAGAAAAAAAATATATCTTAATAATTTATAAACGAGCATAAAATATATTTAAGAAAAAATTAATTACGCAAAACTTATACAGTATTTCTATAAGATCAATTATATAGCTTGATTAAAATTAGAATTTAACTAAATTTGAAACAATACATCTTTAAAGCAATTAATTATGGGCCAACGTAATTAGATACACCACAATTAATAAACAGGCCAGGGCCTCATGATAATTAGTTGAGACAAGACAACAAATAACGTAAGCATCAGTTTACAAAAATATCAAACTACGCATAATTGCGTTGACAGTTTCATAGCGTCATTTTCTTTCGGTAGTGCAAAACCTTTATATCTCGCATGATTAGAGATTGTGTTTCCAACATAGCGAAATTTATTTGTGTTTTTTTTTGCCACGACGAAATTATATTTTTCTTATATTGTCGTATCTATCAATCTTTGTGCCCTTTTACGCAGATCAAAACGAATGTTTTCAACAACTTACGCAAGCGTTTTATGAGTTTTAATTTCAAACTATAGCACAAAAGCAACATATATAATATCACTACAACAATTATATTATGAAAAATACAATTATATTATGGTAAAAGAAATAAATGCATATGTTGTTAAACATATTCATAAATGGCCTCGTTCTTATTGAAAGATTTGACGATTCAACAAATTGGACTATTCTGTATAGTCCACTTGCATATGTAATTGTTAAATAATTGGCGGACATGTGGTACTTGGTGCGATTATGATTGCATTAAAATCGACCATAGCCATACAACAAATAGCCATAAATGCGAGGATGATATTTTCCTAGTCAATCTGAAAATTTTAAGCCGCCGTTTACTGTTGAATACAAGAAATTTTGTATGAAATTTCTTCTAGAAATACTAGGTCTAGTGAAAACTTTGAAATTGGTGGTTCGTAACCAAAATAAATGTTAGGAACCATATACGAAACAGGGTTTGCCATCATTTTTTATCTGTTTTTTTTTAAAAAACTGCATGAATTCTAGATTTTTGACTCATTTTTTTGGTATCCGAACCGGGTTTCTAGTCTATTCCAATTTAAAGTTGTGTCTCTATTCTAAAGAGCGATTGAATCCGGAGCACAAAAGAACCAAACCCCTTGTAATATTGCTAGGCCTCCACCACTTTGGTAGGGTTTGCGGTCATTCATGATTCATTTATCAATTTTATTTTAAAAAATTAGTTAAATAATAGTTATTTTTCAAACTTCATAAGAAGTCAATTCTATTTTCTGAAGTTTTATTTTAAAACATATTATTACTAGTAAACCTTTATATCTCGCATGATTAGAGATTGTGATCAACTGTCCCTTTCAATGATACAATGTTTTCTAGCCTACAACGTTATTTCTCATATTGCGTTCTTGGATTCAACTTTGAACACACCGTCTAAAACATAGTTATCAATTAGAATCAACGTTAAAATGACAAGAATCATATTTCTTCTCACAATAGTCGTCATATGGATAGCATCTTCTTACATGTCTCTTGTCGACTCTTTTTTTCTTTGCTAAAAGGTTACCTTGTCGTCTTCTCTTGATTATTTTGTTGTGGCCGGCGTTTGCTAGTCCACTATTGGTTATCCGCCACACAAAAAACATCCGTACAAGGCAAAAACTTTGAATTGAAAATGTTATTGGATAATTTCAAATATCAAAAATCCATACTTATACATAAAAAAAAACTATATAGATCATATATATAATCTTCTAAGAAGCTAATGTGATAAGATAGGATATTGAATATTCTGGGAGTTGGAACAAATCTCCAAACGATAGCTTAAGAGAAAGCCCAATAACTAAGATAATATTGGAGAAGCTACATCAGCGGGGAGGGCAAATATTAGCCAACTTCAATTATAGCCCATTTTGGCAGTTGTATGTCCTATACAAACATTTTAATTTTTCAATAAAAGTTTCTAATTAGTAAAATAAATGAGTTTAGTTTGATTTAGAAAGCTATGTTGTGATTATTATAAATGATATTACACCTGTTTATGTTAGTAAGAAGTCTATAAATCTATTTGTAGACAAATCACAACTGAGCTCGAAATCAGAAATGGATTGTCGAATTCGCGTATAAAGACCGAAGCTTGTGAAAACAAATGTACTAGCATAAGTACATTCTCTTCAAATACTTTCAACCAATCTAAGTTTTACATAAAAAATATATTAGTATCATAACTAAACTTGCCGGTTACCTATCATTTCCCACAACAATCTTCAATATTACACGCATTTATTAATATATGATATGCTCATTATGTAAAATATATAACAACCGTCCCACAAAGCAAATTAACACTACTTCATTATGCAATGAAGCACTAATTCATTATACAATGAAGCATGAGAAAAAAGACAGCATTCTCTCTTATTTTAAGATGATTATATTTTTGGTTCATTGACGACGAGTAGGCACAAGTTCAAGAGAAACCTTCTTGCCAATAATAATCGCACCTTCTTCTTCCAAATCGATATCTTTCACCGTCCTTCCTTCAGGCAATCCCCAATCAAAGAAGTAAAGCAAATTCAACAATCCTAATTCGACTGTCGCGATCCCCATTGTCATACCGGGACAAATCCTTCGACCAGAACCAAATGGTAAAAGCTCGAAGTTAAGTCCTCTGTAATCAACAGAACTATCAACAAATCTTTCCGGTTTAAACTCTTCTGGATTCTCCCAAAGGTTAGGATCGCGTCCTATCGCGTAAACATTGACCATGATCTGAGTTTTTTCTGGAATGTCATAGCCTTGGATCTTGATTTTAGCCATTGCCTCCCTTGGTAATAAAAGTGGAGCTGCTGGGTGTAATCTGAATGTCTCTTTGATCACTAGCTTGAAGTAGTTAAGTTGGTTAAGATCTTGTTCTGTGATTCTCTCTCTTTTTTCACCAAGTACTGTCCTAACCTCATCTTGTACTTTCTTCATCACTCTTGGGTTTCTTATTAACTCTGTCATTGCCCAAAGAATGGTCGTTGCACTTGTGTTTACTCCGGCAAGAAATATATCCTAAATCCAATCACAAAAAGAATAAGTCTAACATGAAACCTTAATGCCACATACTAGTTCAAGACAATTATATATCATAAGAAAAAAGAGAATAATGTGTAATAAATAGTTAAGGAATTATTTTTTGATAAAAAAAAAAGTTTAAGGAATATTTGAAAGAATTTTAATTCTCTTGATCGATAATAAAACATATGGAAGAATGGAGTATTTATAAATTTTATATGAGTAAAAATTATGAAAATATCAATTTCAGTGTTTTTAAATTTTATCTCACCACCGATTTGTTAGTACTATATTCTGCAATTTGACCTTGTATCACGTTTACAAAAATGTCAAATGTCATTAGTTAGTTCTTCAATCTCATTTGTTCATATATAAATTTGTTCGATATTATAATAACTTAGTTACTAATCTATTCATTCCACCTAAATCAAAAGTTGTTCTAAAATCAAAATTGAAGATTACCACGACAGATTAAAGATTAATTAGAAATGCTTACAGAGATGATTCCTTTGATATGATCAGTAGTGAGCTTAAAAGAACCATCTTGGCTTTGTTTATTCATCATATCAATCATCACATCCACAACATCTGGAGTCTCTAATACTCTTCTTCCTGGCTTTAGATGATCATCGAGAACTTGGTTAAAGAATCCGTCGAGATCTGCGAAAATTTCGTTAAGACTCTTGCTTTGACCGGTGATTTTATCAAGAATCCAACCTCCGGGGAAGAAATTCGAGAAAGCGAATTTCGCCTGAATCTTCTCCGACCTAGACGCTAAATCCTCCATACTATCTTCATCGATAAACTCGGATTCGTGAAGATTTTGACCGAACGCGAGTCTACAGACGATACTAGCTACTAAAGTGAAGAGGGCTTTCTTTAAATTCACAGGAGATTGTTTTTGTGAAGCTTCAGAGAGTTTCTTGACCAACAAGTCATTCTCTTCTTCTCTTATATACCTAAAAGAGTTGAATTTTTTCAAGCTGAATAGCTCGATCACAGCGAGCTTCCTCAACGCTCTCCATTCTTCGCCGTATGGAGCGAATCCGATGTCTTTGAAGTTGTAAGAGATTGTCTTTGACGCTATGGTTTCTGGTCGGCTGCAACAGTCTAGGTCATTGGTTTTGAGAACTTCTTCTGCTGCTTGGTTTGAAGAGATTACGACCACAGGGACGAATCCTAACTTGAGCTGCATCACTGGTCCGTGGGTTTTCGAGAGGTTTTCGAGACATTTGTGAGGTAATCCGTTGAGGTAGTGTAAGTTTCCGATGATCGGAAGTTTCGGTGGACCTGGAGGAAGTTTCAGTTTTGAGGATTGAGATTTTTTTGTGAAGATTATTGTTACTAAAAGAAGTAGCAAAAGCAAAAGGAAACAGAGGAAGATTGACATTTTTCTGTTCTTGCTCTGTTTTTTTTTTCTTTATTTACTAAGTGAAGAAGAATATAAATTTAAAGAGAAATGAAATTAGACTTTTCAAAAAAAAAAAAAAAAAAATTAGACTTTTCAATATTTTTATTTTTGGATCAAGTAGACTTTTCAATTTTGGAGTCAAGAAAATATTTAAGAGTTTAGTAGACTTCAGAGGATGATATTTGCACGGCAACTCTGTTATTCATGGGTCGGTTTCCATAATTGTCCAAAGTCAATGATGAATTTGCAATAAATAATTCGAGGTTTTATTTATGAATAATTGGGAGATGTGTGATAGGGAATGATTTATCTAGAAGCCATTCATCCCAAAAATCTATAAATATCTAAAATAGTAGAGATGTGCACTTTGATACTAAAAGTAATAAGTAATGATCAACTTATCAAATTTATCTATATGCAATTATGATGAACGACTCCACGAATAATTTTATTTTAAGATTGTCAAACTGGAAAAATCATCATTTTTTCCTGTGGTGGAAATCCAACAAATGGATTGGCCTATCCACCTTATGCTTACTCACAGTGTATATGAATCCGTTTAAAATAACATCCAATGAACAACACCCATAATGTCTGTCAGTTAAAAGACATTCAAAAATATCCTTTGACATATAGAACGAGAGACAATATAAACCTCTCACTAAGATAGACTAACGTTCACAAGCATTCCAGGCATTACATATGCTCTGCTGGTCTTGTGATAAAAATATATGCAACATATCAATTTTCTCCTTCGACAAGCAAATATATAACTTCATTTTTATTTTATTCGTAAAGTTGGAACATCATTCAATGATGAATAATTGGGACAAGCTCAAGAGGAACTTTCTTAACAATGGTGGCATCACCAGCCTCTTCTATGTCAATATCTTTATCCTCCTCAGGCAATCTCCAATCAAAGAAGTAAAGAAGGTTCAATAATCCCAATTCAACGGTCGCTATACCAAAAGCTATCCCCGGACATATCTTCCGACCAGAACCAAATGGTAACATCTCAAAGTTATTTCCTTTGTAATCCACAGGACAATCGATAAATCTCTCCGGGTTAAACTCTTCGGGGTTTTTCCAGAGTTCAGGGTTTCGTCCTATCGACCATGCATTAACTAAAAGAATGGTTTTCCGAGGAATGTCGTAGCCTTGAATCTTGATATCAGCCATTGTCTCTCTTGGAAGTAAAAGAGGAGCTGGTGGGTGTAGTCTTAAGGTTTCTTTGATCACAAGCTTTAAGTACTGAAGCTTATCGACATCTTCTTCCTCGATTCTCTCCTTCTGTTTGATTCCAATGCATGTTCGGATCTCGTCTTGAGTTTTCTTCATCACCCGCGGGTTTCTAACAAGTTCCGTCATTGCCCAAATCATAGTGATGGCACTTGTGTCTACGCCAGCAAGATATATATTCTAGGTCAACAACGACACAAGATGGTTAAGGACATATTTAACTTAAGATTTGATAAATCTAAATATATAATCCAATACATACATTATATGAACCATTCCATTCAATTATAATTCAACTTTATGACGCGCGAAGGCCTAATTCTAATAACAATATACAAAAAACCTACTACAAAAGATAAGATACTTTTGAGATAGAAGCCCATGAGTTTTGACAAAATTGTGACCTAGATTTTATGCTTACTTGGATAATTCCTTTGAGATGATCAATGGTGAGTTTGAAAGATCCATCTTGTTCTTGTTTATACATAGTATCTAAGATCGAGTCGATGATATCGGGGCGATCTTGATTTGTTTTTTCTTCAGGATTCTTCAAGTGACCATCAATTACATGATTTAGCAAAGTATCAACCTCGACGAAAACTTTGTGAAGTGTCTTATGTCGTCCTGACACAAAGTCCATAAACCATCCCACACCAGCAGGGAAAAGATCAGAGCTGCTTAGAGACCCAACTTTCTGGACCTCAAACATGAGTTCTTCAATCTTTTCTTTATTGACATGCTTGTTCTCGTCTAACCGCTGCCCAAAGGTAGCCCTGAATATGATACTCCCCACTAGATAGAAAAGTGTTTGGCTCAAATCCACTGTATTCTTCTTCTGAGCTGATTCCTTTAGTTTCTTGACTATCAAATCATTCTCTTCCTCTCTGATGTACCTAAAAGATCGGACCTTTTGCGTGCTGAAAAACTTGAGAAAGGAAAGCTTACGCAATTCCCTAGAAACCTCCCCGTATGGCGCAAAGGCGATGTCTTTACCATCACGCGAGAATTTTGATGAGGCGTTGGTCTTAGGTCTGGTACAACACTCAAGATCATGTACTTTAAGAACTTCTTCAGCTGCTTCTTTCGATGAGATCACAACCATATCAACAAAACCTAGACGGAGAAGTAACACCGGACCGTGTTTCTTGGAGAGATCGTGAAGACATCTATGAAACAATCCTTGAAGTTGGTGTAGGTTTCCAATAATCGGTATCTTCGGTGGGCTCGGAGGAAGATTTCGTTTCGAGTCTTTGATTATCTTCATGAATATTAACGATAAAAGAGCGGCCAGAAGCGGAAACAAGAAGAAATACAGAAGAATCGACATTGTTTTTGTTTTCCTCTGTTTTTCCTCTGTTTTGTGTTCTGTTTTTGGTGATAGAGAAACAGAGTTAAAGACGTCTTTACTTTGGCAACATAAGTAATACATATAAATTTACATGTCAATTATCGTTCGTGAGGATAAGGTTCGAGAGGTCAAGAACAATACCAACTAAACTTTCAAGAACTAGTCAAACACTGCTCTCAATTCTAAGTTCGTATTCTAAACCGGTGCAAAAAATAGATACACAAGTAACAACTTAAATAAGATAATGGTTAAACAGAAGTATACAACAATATATAGAGGAAAAAACAGATAGAAGATATACACTATGATACAAACCATTATTTTCTCTTGTGTATAGAAAATATAATTTCATTCATAAGTTTTTTATTCTTATATAGGCCTTCATCTAATGATGATCATTTCTTTTACCTTTTTAGTGATGAAGAATTGGGACAAGCTTAAGAGGAACTTTCTTAATAATGGTGGCATCACCAGCCTCTTCCATGTCAATATCTTTATCCTCCTCAGGCAATCTCCAATCAAAGAAGTAAAGAAGGTTCAATAGTCCCAATTCAACGGTCGCTATCCCAAAAGCTATCCCTGGACATATCTTCCGACCAGAACCAAATGGTAACATCTCAAAGTTATTTCCTTTGTAATCCACAGGACACGTTTTTCCAAAGTTCAGGGTTTCGTCCTATCGACCATGCATTAACTAAAAGAATGGTTTTCCGAGGAATGTCGTAGCCTTGAATCTTGATATCAGCCATTGTCTCTCTTGGAAGTAAAAGAGGAGCTGGTGGGTGTAGTCTTAAGGTTTCTTTGATCACAAGCTTTAAGTACTGAAGCTTATCGACATCTTCTTCCTCGATTCTCTTCTGTTTGATTCCAATGCATGTTCGGATCTCGTCTTGAGTTTTCTTCATCACCCGCGGGTTTCTAACAAGTTCCGTCATTGCCCAAATCATAGTGATGGCACTTGTGTCTACGCCAGCAAGATATATATTCTAGGTCAACAACGACACAAGATGGTTAAGGACATATTTAACTTAAGATTTGATAAATCTAAATATATAATCCAATACATACATTATATGAACCATTCCATTCAATTATAATTCAACTTTATGACGCGCGAAGGCCTAATTCTAATAACAATATACAAAAAACCTACTACAAAAGATAAGATACTTTTGAGATAGAAGCCCATGAGTTTTGACAAAATTGTGACCTAGATTTTATGCTTACTTGGATAATTCCTTTGAGATGATCAATGGTGAGTTTGAAAGATCCATCTTGTTCTTGTTTATACATAGTATCTAAGATCGAGTCGATGATATCGGGGCGATCTTGATTTGTTTTTTCTTCAGGATTCTTCAAGTGACCATCAATTACATGATTTAGCAAAGTATCAACCTCGACGAAAACTTTGTGAAGTGTCTTATGTCGTCCTGACACAAAGTCCATAAACCATCCCACACCAGCAGGGAAAAGATCAGAGCTGCTTAGAGATCCAACTTTCTGGAACTCAAACATGAGTTCTTCAATCTTTTCTTTATTGACAAGCTTGTTCTCGTCTAACCGCTGCCCAAAGGTAGCCCTGAATATGATACTCCCCACTAGATAGAAAAGTGTTTGGCTCAAATCCACTGTATTCTTCTTCTGAGCTGATTCCTTTAGTTTCTTGACTATCAAATCATTCTCTTCCTCTCTGATGTACCTAAAAGATCGAACCTTTTGCGTGCTGAAAAACTTGAGAACGGAAAGCTTACGCAATTCCCTAAAAACCTCCCCGTATGGCGCAAAGGCGATGTCTTTACCATCACGCGAGAATTTTGATGAGGCGTTGGTCTTAGGTCTGGTACAACACTCAAGATCATGTACTTTAAGAACTTCTTCAGCTGCTTCTTTCGATGAGATCACAACCATATCAACAAAACCTAGACGGAGAAGTAACACCGGGCCGTGTTTCTTGGAGAGATCGTGAAGACATCTATGAAACAATCCTCGAAGCTGGTGTAGGTTTCCGATAATCGGTAGCTTCGGTGGGCTCGGAGGAAGATTGCGTTTCGAGTCTTTGATTCTCTTCATGAATATTAACGATAAAAGAGCGGAGAGAAGCGGAAACAAGAAGAAATAGAGAAGAACCGACATTGTTTTTATTTTCCTCTGTTTTGTGTTCTGTTTTTGGTGATATAGAAACAGAGTATACAGACTATAAAAGACAGAGTTAAAGACGTCTTTACTTTGGCAACACATAAATTTACATGTCAATTATTGTTCGTGAGGATAAGCTTCGAGAGGTCAAGAACAATACCAACTAAACTTTCAAAAACTAGTCAAACACTGCTCCCAATTCTATGTTCGCATTCAAACCGGTGCAAAAAATAGCTTAAACAATCATCTATGATACACAAGTTACAACTTTATTTAAGATAATGATTAAACAGAAGTATACAACAATATAAAGAGCAAAACAGATAGAAGATATACACTATGATACAAATCACTATTTTCTCTTGACTGTAGAAAATATAATTTCATTCATAAGATTTTTATTCTTATATAGGCCTTCATTCAATGATGAGCATTTCTTTTTCCTTTTTAGTGATGAAGAATTGGGACAAGCTTAAGAGGAACTTTCTTAATAATAGTGACATCACCAGCCTCTTCCATGTCCATATCTTTATCCTCTTCAGGCAATCTCCAATCGAAGAAGTAAAGCAAGTTCAATAATCCCAATTCAACGGTCGCAATCGCAAAAGCTATCCCTGGACATATCCTCCGACCAGAACCAAATGGTAACATCTCAAAGCTATTTCCTTTGTAGTCAATAGGACAGTCGATAAACCTTTCCGGGTTAAACTCCTCAGGGTTTTTCCAGTATTTAGGATCTCGTCCTATCGACCATGCGTTAACCAAAAGAAATGTTTTCTGAGGAATGTTGTAGCCTTGAATCTTGATATCAGCCATTGTTTCTCTTGGAAGTAAAAGAGGTGCTGCTGGGTGTAGTCTTAAGGTTTCTTTGATCACAAGCTTCAAGTACTGGAGCTTTTCGATATCTTCTTCCTCGATTCTTTCATTTTGTTTTATTCCGATGCATGTTCGGATCTCATCTTGAACTTTCTTCATCACCCGCGGGTTTTTAACAAGCTCTGCCATTGCCCAAATCATGGTGATGGAACTTGTGTCTACTCCAGCAAGATATATATCCTAGGTCAACAAATACACAAAATAGTTAATGACATATTTAGACTCAACATTTTAAGAATTCCATATCAAAAAGTATAGAAGATCTACTTTTTATCTATAGATCCTATGAATTTTAACATGCTTACTTGGAGAATTCCTTTGAGATGATCAATGGTGAGTTTGAAAGATGCCCCTTGTTCTTGTTTATGTATCATATCTAAGAGCGAGTCGATGATATCAGGACGATCATGAGTTGTTTCTTCTATAGGGTTTTTCAAGTGATCATCAACAATATGATTCAGCATAGTATCAACCTCCACGAAGGCTTTGTCAAGTTGCTTATTTCGTCTTGATACAAAGTCCACACACCATCCCAAACCACCAGGGAAAAGATCAGAATTACTTAGTGACCCAAGTTTCTGGACCTCAACCATGAGGTCTTTGATCTTTTCCGCATCTACATGATTGCTCGCGTCGAAACGCTGTCCAAAGGCAGATCTGAGTATGATACTCCCAACTAGACCGAAAAGTGTGTTGCTCAAATCTACAGAAGATTTCTTCAGAGCCGATTCCTTCAGTTTCTTGACCATCAAATCATTTTCTTCCTCTCTGATGTACCTATAAGATCGAACCTTCTTCGTGCTGAAAAAATTAAGAACAGAAAGCTTCCGCAACTCTCTCAAAGACTCACCATATGGGGCAAAGCCGATGTCTTTACCGTTACGCCAAAGCTTTGATCCTACGTTAGTCTTAGGTCTGGTACAACACTCAAGGTCATGTACTTTAAGAGCTTCTTCAGCTGCTTCGCTTGATGAGATCACAACCATATCGAGAAAACCTAGACGGAGAAGCAACACGGGTCCGTGTTTGTTGGAGAGATCGTGAAGACATCTGTGAAACAATCCTCGAAGCTGGTATAGGTTTCCGATAATCGGTAGCTTCAGTGGGCTCGGAGGAAGATTTCGTTTCGAGTCTTTGATTTTCTTCATGAATATTAACGATAAAAAGGCGATGAAATACAGAAGAATCGACATTTTTATTTATTTTTGTTTTGTGTTCTGTTTTTGGTGATAGTGAAAGAGAGTATTCAGACTATAATTAAACAAACAGAGTTAAAGACGTCTTTACCATGGCAACATATGTCAGAGTCGATAGACAAAAGTCACATGTCATTTAGTGTTTGTGAGGATAAGCTTTGAAAATTGTCTTCCAAATAGTATGTGAACACTTTTTTATATAAAAAAAACAAAATTGTGGACACCAATCAAACCTTTCAAAAACTACTCAAACATCAATCACACCGATGCAAAAAAAAAACAAAAAAAAACTTAAAACAATTTATCTCAACAATCCAATGGGCCTCATGATGTCCCCATCAAAATCAAATTCATTTCCAAACAATATAACAACAATTATTTCAATAACAACAACATTACACGGTTCAAGTTCTCTCATTACTCAAGATTCAATGGCGAAGGATAGGAATAAGCTCAAGAGGAACTTTCTTAACAACAGTGACATCACCAGATTCTTCCATGTCCATATCTTTCTTCTCCTCAGGCAACTTCCAATCAAAGAAGTAAAGCACATTCAAGAGCGTCAATTCAATGGTCGCAATCCCGGAAGCCATTCCTGGACAAATCCTCCTACCAGAACCAAAGGGTAAAAACTCAAAGCTATGTCCTTTGTAATCCACAGGACACTCAAGAAACCTTTATTTTTTACAGTTGAGAGGGAAAAATGAATATCTACTTGTGATTTTCTCGTCTTTATAGCATTGTTAACTTCTTTTCCAACTCTTTGAATCTCAAGAATAAACTTAAGTTTTTCCTTTCTTTCACTATCTAGGTTCATACAGCTTGAGCTTAATGTGTTTTGTCTTTCATGTTGACATGCGTCATACCTTTCAGAAAGAGGAAAAAGAAGAGCTTGATATGCATGTATAGTCACATGCATCAATTTGAATAAGTATTGAATACCTACCGTATAATTAATAAGATATTTTTGAGATAAACCCCCATGAAAAGGACAAAAAAATGTGAACTAGATTCTATTCTTACTTGGATAATTACTTTGAGATGATCAATGGTGAGCTTGAATGATTCATCTTGCTCTTGTTTATGCATAGCATCTAAGATCGAGTCAACGATATCAGGGCGATCTTGATTTGTTTTTTCTTCAGGGTTTTTTCAAGTGATCGTCAATTATATGATTCAAAAATGTATCAATGTCAACGAGAACTTTGTGAAGTCTCTTATGGTTTCCTGACATTATCCATAAACCATCCCAAACCATAAGGGAAAAGATCAGAACTACTGAAACACCCAACTTTCTAAAACTCAAACATGAAATCTTTGATCCTGTCTTTATCGATATGCTTGCTTTCGTAGAAACTTTGTCCAAAGGCGGCTCTACATATGATACTCCCAACTAGACAGAAAAGTGTTTGGCTCAAATCTACCGAAGATTTCTTGAGCGCCGCTTCCTTCAATTTCTTGACCATCAAATCATTCTCTTTCTCTCTGATGTACCTAAAACATGGAACTTTTTTCGGGCTGAAAAAGTTAAGAAAAGAAACCTTGCGTACCTCCCTCAAAACCTCACCATATGGTGCAAAGGGGCACTATCTTTACCGTCACGCGAGAATTTTGATGAAGCGTTGGTCATAGGTCTGTTACAACATTCAAGGTTATGAGTTTTAAGAGCTTCCTCAGCTCCTTCGCTCATTGAGATTACAACCATTTTGACAAAACCTAGCGGAGAAGCAACACGGGTCCGTGTCTCCGTCCAAATTAGATTAATTTCCCAACAACATCACACTTTTTTATTTCAATAACAATAATAGACAGTCCAAGTACACTCATTCACAAGATTCAATGGCGAAGAATAGGAAGAAGCACAAGAGGAACTTTCTTAACAACAGTGACATCACCAGCTTCTTCCATGTCCATATCTTTCTTCTCCTCAGGCATTTTCCAGTCAAAGAAGTAAAGCAAATTCAAGAGTCCTAATTCAATGGTTGCGATCGCCATAGCTATTCCTGGACAAATCCTCCGACCAGAACCAAATGGTAACAACTCAAAGCTATGTCCTTTGTAATCCACAGGACAATCAAGAAACCTCTCCGGGTTAAACTCCTCAGGGTTTCTCCAGTATTTTGGATCTCGTCCTATCGACCACGCGTTAACGAAAAGAAATGTTTTCCGAGGAATGTCGTAGCCTTGAATCTTGATATCAGCCATTGTTTCTCTTGGAAGTAAAAGAGGAGCTGCTGGGTGTAGTCTTAAGGTTTCTTTCACCACAAGCTTCAAGTATTGAAGCTTATCAAGATCTTCTTCAATAATTCTTCCTTCTTGTTTGATTCCAATACAAGTTTGGATTTCTTCTTGAGCCTTTTTCATCACTCTAGGGTTTCTAACGAGCTCTGCCATCGCCCAAATCATTGTAATGGCGCTTGTGTCTATTCCAGCGTGATATATATTCTAGGTCAAGAAAAAAGAGATTAGATTATCAACTAAAGATATATAAAATTAGATTCAAAAATCATTAAGTAAATAAATTTGTTTGCTTACTGAGAGGACTCCTTTGAGATGTTCAACAGTGAGCTTGAAAGATGCATATTGTTGTTGATTATCTATCATATCTAAGATAGCGTCAACCATATCAGGACGATCTTGAGTTTGTTTCTTCGAATGATGATCATCAACTATATGATTAAAAAAAGTATCAACCCTGGTGAAGACGTTGTAAAGCCTCTGATGTTGGCCTGACACAAAGCCTATAAACCATTTAAGACCAGCAGTAGGGAAAAAATCAGAGAATCTGAAAGTCATATTGCTCTGAGATTCAAACATCAGTTCTTTGATCCTCTCCTGATCGATATGCTTGTTCTCATAGAAACTCTGTCCTAAGGCGGTTCTGAATACGATACTCGCGGTGAGACCAAAGAGGGCTTTGCTCAAGTCCACCGGAGATTGCTTCGAAGCCAATTCTCTCAGTTTCTTGACCATCAAGTCATTCTCTTCCTCTCTAATATACCTGAAAGATTGAACTTTTTTCACGCTAAAGAATTCTCGAACCGAAAGCTTACGCAGCTCTCTCCATTCATCACCGTATACCCCGAATCCGATGTCTTTACCGTTCCGCGAGAAAACCCTTGCGGCGATAGTGTTAGGTCTTGAACAACACTCAAGGTCATGTGTTTTAAGAGCTTCTTCAGCTGCTTCACCCGATGAAATTACGACCATTGATGCAAACCCTAGACGGAGATGCATCACTGGTCCGTGTTTCTTGGAGAGATTGTGAAGACATCTATGAAGCAACCCTTGGAGCTGGTGTAGGTTTCCGATGATCGGAAGCTTTGCTGGGCCAGGAGGAAGATTTTGTTTCGACTCTTTGATCTTCTTGGTGAAGATTAACGAGAAGAATATGGGGACGAATAGAAGCAAGAAGAAAGATAGAAGAATCACCATTATTTTCGTTCCTCTGGTTTGTGATCTGCTTTTTTAGATAGAGAAACATTAAGACAAAATACTTATTGCCGTCAGTGAGGATAAGCTCGAGATAAAGATTGAGAGAGTGAGGCTTAAAATTAAAGATGAGTGTAATTAATTAACGCATGGCGATGAATTGTATTCGTAATAATATACATGTATGAAATTATTTACCTGTATATATCTTATAAGAAAAAAAATTAAGAATTGATACGTGGCAAATTGAGAAGCTATAGATAGGAAAATTATAGTGGAAAAATATAGGGAATTGTTTTTTAAAAGCTCTTTTTGGTATGCTTCTTTTCAAAATTGTTATCTGTCAATTTTCAAAAAATCGTTAATTTTGTTTTTTATAAAAGTACTTATTGATGGTAATTACTACTGGAAAACTCGATCCAAATATTTATAAAGTTTATAAGGTGTAGTCATAATGTCAAGTACTTCTGAGAAACTCATACTTATTTGCAAATATACATGAAGTTATAAATGTGTATGTTTTTTACTTATGCATCAGAAGTACTCAGAACATGGTTTTGGAAACAGAGTTACATAAATTACATTTAAAAAAAAAAGACAGTCTGATAACACAAAAAGAAGTTCCAGAATGGTAAAAGAGTTCTGGTTGGGATGATTATGTTTTTCTCGAAGCTCATGTAACTACAAACTGATGCGAATAACTGGCAGAAGCTCAAGAGGAACTTTCTTAACAACAATGACATCACCAGCTTCTTCCATGTCCATATCTTTCTTCTCCTCAGGCAATTCCCAATCAAAAAAGTAAAGCAAGTTCAAGAGTCCTAATTCAATGGTCGCAATCCCAAAACTCATTCCTGGACACATTCTCCGGCCAGAACCAAATGGTAACATCTCAAAACTCTGTTCTTTGTAATCCATAGGATAATTGATAAACCTCTCCGGGATAAACTCCTCTGGATTTTTCCAACGGTCAGGGTTTTGTCCGATCGACCACGCGTTAACCAAAAGAAGAGTTTTTGAGGGAATGTTGTATCCTTGAATATTGATTTGAGACATTGTTTCTCTTGGAAGTAAGAGAGGAGCTGGTGGGTGTAGTCTTAAGGTTTCTTTGATCACAAGCTTCAAGTACTGAAGTTTTTCGATATCTTCTTCCGCGATTCTCTCCTTTGGTTTGATTCCAATGCAAGTTCGAATCTCATCTTGAGTTTTCTTCATCACTCTCGGGTTTCTGACAAGCTCTGCCATTGCCCAAATCATGGTGACGGCAATTGTGTCTACTCCAGCAAGAAATATATCCTGATCAGAATTGGTCAAGAAATATGATTAGGTCATGTTTAGATTCAAGAATCATGAACTAAAGATTCTATTCTTACTGAGATGACTCCATGGAGGTGATCAATTGTGAGCTTGAAAGAAGAATCATCTTCTTCTTGTTTATGTATCATTTCCAACATCACATCAACGATATCAGGACGATCTTGAGTTGTTACTCCATGCTTGATATCCAAATGATCATCAGCCACTTTCTTGACAAAAGTATCAACCTCGGCGAAAACGTTATGAAGTCTCTTGTGTTCTCCTAAAACCAAGTCCATAAACCATCCGAGACCAGCAGTAGGGAAGAGATCAGAAAATTTGAAAGACATATTTATTAGAGCTTCAAATATCAGTTCTTGGATCTTTTCCTTATTGATATGTTTGGTTTCCGAGAAATTCTGTCCAAAGGCGGATCTGAATATGATACTTGCAGCTAAAGAGAAAAGGGTTTTGCTCAAATCCACTGGAGATTGCTTCAAAGCTGATACTGTCAGTTTCTTGATCATCAAGTCATTTTCTTCCTCTCTGATATACCTAAAAGATCGGACTTTTTTCGCGCTGAAGAACTCAAGTATAGCAAGCTTGCGAAGCTCTATCCAGTCCTCACCGTATGACGCCAAACCAATGTCTTTACCCTTACGCGAAAATGTCTGCATTCCAAGAGCCTTAGGTCGTGTACAACACTCTAGGTCATGGGTTTTAAGAACTTCTTCAGCTGCTTCACTCGATGAGATTACCACAACTGGGACAAAACCTAGATTGAGAAGCATCACGGGTCCATATTTCTGGGAAAGATCGTGAAGACATCTATGAAGCAATCCTCGAATTTGGTGTAGATTTCCGATGAACGGAAGCTTCGGTGGGCTCGGGGGAAGATTCTGTCTTGAGTCTTTGATCTTCTTGATGTATATGATCGAGAATATAACAGAAAGGAATAGAAGGAAGAGCAAAGACAGAAGGATCGTCATGGTTTTGGTTCCTCTGTGTTTTTTGGAGATAAAGAAACAGAGTAGCAAAGAAAACAACAACGTTTTATACGAACACAGGTTGGTTTCACAGATTGGTTTTGATATATACGAAGTTAAACGTCGTTTAGTGTCTTCGGTGAGGATAAGTCTCGAGATGAAGACTGAGAAAGTGAGGTTACAAAATATTGTACTCATGCAGTCATGCTATACGTGTAAAGACCAGTGAATGACAAAATTTTCTTATAATTTCATTTTCAACGGTCACGTTTAGTTGACAAATAGAAATTTTCGATAACAACGTATATGTACTACTCACTCGCAACTATCTAAAATTCACAAGATTTTGTGGAAAACTTACAAAAGAAATTATAAGAAAATTTTGTCATCATTTTTAGACCAAAATATCCAAAAGTGTAATATATTTAAGGTATTAATTTCATGTATTTTCAGACATTGTTGGACATTTTTAGGTATTTTTGGGTAAAAAATAATCAAACTAGACGGTATTCAAAATTATATTCGAATTAGACGGTATCCAAAAATATTTCGGTATTAGGCCGGTTCTTCATTAAAGAACTATATCAAAACCTAGAGTAGATGAACTGAACCCGAACCTAATTTCTAAAAATACTCGAATGAATCTTAATCTGCATAAACGAAATAACAGAAACCCAAAAAATATCTTACCAGAACTGAACCAAATATCCAAAAGTTCAGGGTCTAATGCCCACCATGTACAAAAATCTTACCAATGGATATGATCACCAAAAAAAAAAATCTTACCAATGGATATAATAAGTTTTTTATTTTTTCACAAAATTGAATTTATATTTGGTTTAATATTTATCTCTTTCG